TACTATACAGAACTAATTGTTTACTTACTAATTAAATAATCAACTATCATTTTAGTGGTATCAAGTTTAAAAAACCTAATTAATACATTTTAAGGAGATTTTAATATAGCAGAATAATTAATTTCAGTAAATTTCAGATATTAGCAATTTCTACATATGATATTAGTCTCAAAATAATGAGCTGATACAAAAGTCCTTCCATCAGAATTTGTGATCAATTTCTAAAAAAATGAATATTAATGCAAAACAAAACTGTTGATAATTCTCTATACATTTGTCACATTCATATTAACATTTAACGATACTTAATTTAAACTAGATTAATCCTCCATCATTAAATTCTCTTTAAATCCAAACAGATCTTTTGTTGTGTTTCATAGTAATAGTACTAATACGTTCATATTCACCACCATAATGATAGTGTTGGCTTATAACCTAACCCATTCATACATGTTCCAAAAAAATATCTAGTAATTGCTGAAGTAAGTACTTTTCAAATTAAACATATAATTACCTCAGAAATCTTGCATACACCATAATATAATATGAGAATGGGGTGCTAAATCTAAAAATATTCTGCTAATATTTCTCTAATCATAATTAGAACTTCCAAAATAAAATAATGACTCCTCCAATAGTATAAAAATCGATATCATTATTTAAACTTGACCATCCTAAGTTATAAAATAGAAAATACCATCATTTATTAGAGAAATTGAATCAAACTAATAAATCAGAGATGAGTTGTATAAACAAAAAAACTGAGTAATATCATTGATTACTTATATTATAGAATTTTATGTTTTAAAAAAAGGAAGTTAATGTAGCAAAATTTAAAATTTAATAATGAACTTAATAAAACTATTAATATTACTAATAATAAAGCACCTTTTTTTTCATCTTACTATATAAATTTAAAATTATTAACATATGATGAATAGATAAATTGTTCATGACAAGTCTTGAGTTCTGATCCTATATAATGATGGGATGCTAAAATAGTATAATAAAAAGCCTCAACATTGGTCTTCCAAGCTTTTTAAGGGAGGGAGGTATACAAAAATTAGTTGGTTTTAGATATCTATGGATAAATAAAATTGTAAAATCTTTAATTTCAGAGATTATTGTATTGACATTAAAAAAACCTAGAAAATGAATTATGAGAATAAAAAAACATTACATTTTAATTTTCTCAAAATATACACTCTTACTCTTTATATTATTTTTTTTGCTAGGGATGTTTAAAGGACTGTCTCTGGATTAATAAATCTTTCTCTAAAATTTCAATTTATTCATTAAAATGAAATATTTATTCAAATAAATTATGCATTATAAATTCATGTTGGTTATACATATTTAGGAAACTAATGAAATCTAATTATGTATATACTTTATAGCTAGTTATGCAAGATTATGAAGTAGTAAATTCTTGTGGTTTTGATTCAAAATAGTTCGGGTTCTTGAGATGCACTACAACATTTGAACAAATATTAATAGATTTAATTTCAAATGGAATCTTATTTGATTATTTTACTATTTATCCTTTAGTTATTTAAAATAATGTCCCTTAAAAATTACATTAACTGTAAAATTTAACAGTTGGACAATTATAATTGTTTAAATAAAGGATTCTAATATAAGAAATTAAAGGTTGAAAGTTTATTGATAACACAGTAGATGCCATACATTACTAGTTTTCAGTAAAAATATCTTTTTCACCTTAATAATTTTCCTTAGTAAACAGATTGACTGTTTTCTATTTTGGGATAGTTAGAGATTTGACAATTTTAGACCATCCTTTTATTGATAAATTAGGAATTTTTTGGCAAACTAATATAGATTCTCCTTAGAAATCACATTCAGAGAAGAGCTCCAAACAATTTTCATCAAATATTTTATGATTAGTATCAAAAACATAAAGACCTGCCGAATGGAATATAGCATAAACTACTGAATCCCCCCCTAAATTGATATAAATTTTATACATGCCCAAAATGTATATGTTATTTTAGTATTCAAAGCAACATTCATTAACCATATTCTTAAATTATATCTATTGTCAGTGCTATAGCCTCTCCATGTGGCAAGAGGAGTTAGTGTATAGCTGGAATAATCACTTGGAAAGTCAATTTAAATATTTGGGAAATAATCTGCTGGAAGATTTATAACAGTATAAAGAGATGAAGTCCATAATGATTTATCAGTACCAAGAAGAACACTAAAACTTATATAATCTACTAATGATTGCGCATAAGATGCCCCAGAAATTGTTATTTTTTATGAGGTAATTTCTACAATCTAAAAGATAAATTCAATAAATTTACCTTGAGTTCAATTACTAGATAAGTTAGATAGAAAAATTTAACACCATTTAATGATATTAGACCACGTGTAGCCTCTTAAAAGTTATGATCTATTTAAAATAGAACTTCCCTTTAGCCTGTTATAGTTCTTAATTATTTGACATCATATGTGTTGAAATTAATTACTTAAACTCTATCATCGCACATAGCAATCCAATAAAAATATAACTAGATTAGAGATTATGAAGTTAAAGCAATTGAATGCACTAGAAACCCCTTTTGAGTAATCAAACCAACTCTTTAATTAAATCCAATTGATCCTTCATAGCTATCCACTTTATTTTATGAAATAAAAACTTAAGGAACAGTTTCAAAAGCTGCTGAAAATTGCACATAGACTACAACCTATCTTGGAACATATGATTGGGTTTCTAAAATATGACCTTGAGAATGTGAAACACCCACAGCATTTCCAGAATCAAATTATGGAATTCTAAAATTAAAGACCATTATGAGTAGTGAAAATGCAGCTAACAGCTTCATTAAATTGATTTTTTATTATTATTATTGCAATCAGAAAAATGGAATATTGATAATATTTTATAAAAAAGATATCTATTTTCTGCACTTTTTGGATTGGTAATTCTGTCAGTTTTCCTTAATTAATTATAGTCAATAAACTAATCAAGTAAAACTATTATTGATAAATAAGGTTGACTAGCCAATTTTAACAATAGAATTGTGAATTTTAGTATGTTTAAACTCTCTTAATAATAATAGTCTTGTGAGCCTATTTGTGTAAAGTTGATTTTTACATTTGTTAGAACTTTTTATTTGAAATTATGATAAAATAAATATTAGTTTATTTTTAAATAATGTTCAAAAGATTAGGGATTAACATAATAAACATAGGAACTTTGAATTATTTAGATATCAACCAAAGCAGAATAAATAGATTAAAAAGAATATTGCAATATCAATATTTTAATAATTGTTTTACAATTATTAAAACATATATCTATTTCTGCCATATATCTTTTGAATCAAAGTATCAATTATTTTTTGTCATATGTCATTATTTAATAGTTCCTATTAGTAATTTAAAAAATATTTTTATCTGTTCAATTTTATTTACAAATAATATATATATATAAAAGTGAAAAATAGTAATATATTAATATGTAAGTTATATTATTACCTCATCTTTACATGGTTTTATGTATTATTAATATTTAATGTAATATAACTATATTTTCCACTTAATATCAAAGGAACTATTGCAAAAGATGCAATTTTCTTACTTTGAGTTTCTAGTTAAATTCTTAATTATATACTGACTTTGAAACTAATTTGGGTGATTATTATACTTTAATTTTTTCCAAACCTTTCTGGAGTAGAGAGATAAATTGATTCTATGAAA